CTAGAGTGCAACTCAAAAGTCTGAACAGAAGCAGAGCAATTTTACAAAGAGCCAGCAGCAAAACTTTTGTCTTTTTCCTTGTTTGAACAGGTTGACTTTACAAATAAGTAGCTGTAGTACATGGCCGCATTTACTGTGCGTGAACTAAAATCAATGCAAAAATGAATTTTTTCTGCCTGCCTAACTGAGGAATTAAACAGGTCGACCCAGCTGCAGTGGAAGTGGGAGCACAGCAGGAGAAACAATGAATTCTTACTTCAGTGAATTCCGTTTAATTTCATTAGAGCAGTGTCAAAAGTTATCTCGACAGAAGAAAACATGCTGTAGCATGTTAGAGCTTTCAAGTGTTGTCTTGTCAACTAATGAACAACTAACAACATCCCTGTTACAGTTTTCCTCATGAGATCTGCAGTTTGATACTGAAGCTCAATTAAAGGAAGACTGGAATAACTAAACTTTGTTAGAACTTTTCATTTCTTATTTTCCTTCTTTTTAAGATGGCTTATCTCAGTGTTTCTGAAAATGTAAATGGTACCGATGACTGTTGTGATGGCTGATATTGCTTTCTGCAATCCTTTTGGAATTCAAACAATGGCAATGAATTACATTTCCTATTAAATACAAGCTGTTTCATCAGTAATACTTTTGTGCTTTTTCAGGTGACATTTCAGTGATTCATCTTTTGTTTCACAAATCAGCTGACTTCAGTTGGGTCAGGAGGTTCTCCTGTTAACTCTGTGGGAGTAAAATAATGCTTTTTTTTCTTCTTTTTTCTCTCAAATGTTGTGTTTCTTTTTTCTCTCTCTTTTCCTACTTCAAAGCAACAGCAAAGCAATGCAAGTCCTGCCATTATTGATCCCACATAATTATCAGTAGAGCCTGAGGGCAGTGGTTCCCCTTCAATATCAAAATTAGCTTTAATATTTTCTGAAGTGCTTGAATTGCCTTGTTCCAGTGGAATTTTCATTTAAGTCTGTAGTCAGGCACTGTGGAGCCAACAGTGATTCTTTAAAGGAAAATGGAAGTCTACACTGTGTGTCTTGCACCATTTTGCCCTTGTGATCTGTCCTTCAGAAATGCATACATAATACTCGGGCAAGGTCATACACATTTAATAGATACTATTTATCCTGGATTTTGTCACTGGGACATTTGTTTGAGAATAAATCAGGCATCATTACAGGTACACCAATGAGTGACCTGAAAGGTGTTCCTTCCCTTTGTTCGTTTGCACCGTAGTGAAGGCATTGTGAGCTAAAGATAAAGGAATTTGCCTTATGCCAAACTGTTGAGTTTCCTACAGAGGCATTTCCTTAATTCATAAAGCAGCACATGAAATACAATGTGAATATCTCAGGACCAACAGTATAAAATGACATGACAGAACAAAGGAAATACTTGAAAACCAGCCACTTGGTTATTCATCAGCTCTAAGGCAGGTGTAGGTGTCATTGCTGTTTGCAAACTCTACAGAAGAGACACAAAGGTGAAATGCTTGAGGGTGGCCACCATTCCTTACCTGTACTGTTCATTTGCATGCACTGCAGTCGCTTGGAAATTGGGAACTGTTACTCCTTTCTTTTTTTAATTTGCTTTACCTTATTCATGGAACTTCAAAGGACCATATTAAATGACCTAGTCATATGCAAGGTATAAGGTTTTACAAACCCATCTGTGATAAGTGAAAGAAAGTACAGCTGCAGTCATCGGAGCAGAACTGTTACTCTAAGCCTTAGCTTTATACAAGATGTTTAATTGCATGAGAACATGAGTTACATTCCTCTTGAAATACCACACCTAGATATTACAAGAAAGACATGATGTTTTTTCAGTCTGTGTCTAAACAGCAGGATGTAAATTCATTTTCCAGGTGGTGAGTACGGGTGGGTGTATTAGTTGTGTCCCAGCTCCATCTTGGGCTGATTCCAAATGCACGCATCTATTCATGTTTCCTGGTTTCCATGTGAAGAAAATGAAAGCATGCTCTGACCAGGTGTTCAGTTTTCACAGCAGTAAGACCCCAAGGCATGCTGTGGGCCATGTCTACACTGTGATTTATACATAACTTCCATTTACAACTTTTCTATTGCCTTCTCAATTTCCTTTTACTTCAGCTGCTGCATTTGGGTACCTAAATAATGCTTAGATATACCTTAGTGCACCATTCATAACAAGAATATACACCTTTTATTACCTCTGTCTATTGCTTTGTTAGACTGTAGGGATTTTAGAATAGCCCGACATCAAAGGTGGTGAATCTGCTGCTAGCCACAACATCCAGTGTGAGAGTGCCCTAGTTGTACTGTTGGAACATTTATAGTATATGGTACAGAGTTTCATCTCTGTAATTCAGGATGTCAGCTCAGTATGTTCTTTAAAGCACTTTTGTGAACAGAACAGAAAATGCTTTTCAGCAACTATAGGGGTAGGAAAGATAAGCTGGTAGTGCCTGTTGCTGTTATGCATTTTTGGAGGCTGGATCAAGGGGAGAGCCTGTTCTGTCTGCTTGTCCCTTGAAAGGTGCCAGCTGGGAGCTGAAGGCAGATGAAGAGATCTGAGTCGCTGCTGGCTCTCAGGTGAGCAGTGCTGTCCTGTTGCAGTATTCAGTTGGAGGACAGTCCTGCTGTGTTTTAAGTGCAGCATCCACAAATGATCCAACTGTTGTGATTATCTGGAGTCAATTGAAGGGGCCATGCCTTACCAGTAGTAGTTACCTTTTTTTTTTTTTCTTTTCTTTTTGGTGTGAGTGTGTGTGTGTGTAGGATGTATTGATAAGACAGATATACAAAGATCAGTAGGATAGAACAATTGAGGATTGTGGCAGTAAACTGCTACATTTGTCTGCATTTCTGGTGACTGCTTAGTAGGGCAAGACATAAGTCATGCTGAGGGAAGTGTTAGTGAAGGAAATCCTCTTCCACCAGACTTGTATTACCGCTTGTCCATATAGTGGTGCTTGTTAATCTGCTATTGTTCTTGCCAGTGGAACAGTGCTCGAAGTCATTTGTCACTCTTTTATTGCTCCTGGAGATTGCAAAACAGCAGGGTCTGTTTTCTTTCTCAGACAATGACATGTGTTTATGATGCTGCATTGTAAGCTGCTTAGCAAACTTGGAAGGACAAAACAGAGCTGAAAAAAAAAAAAAAGGATAAATCATAAGGGAATTGAGTGGTTCTATAGTTCTGAACTTGAGATATAAATCATTGGTCCAGATGAGTCTCTTCAGAGCCTTCCAAGCTGGAAAAGCCATGCAGTTACTTGCCTGAAAGTGCACAGGTCACAAAAGCAATTATATTTGTGCAGGTTTGTTCGGATTGGTCGTATTAGGTCCGGATGACTGCATCGGATGTTCATTACAGGTGCTGAAGGAATTGCTCGTTTGGCTTCATTCCCACCAGTGAATCATGAGATCCAAGATGGCAAATACTGCTGTTGTTTTTTCCGATTTGGGGACCTTTTTAAGTGACAGCTAAGATCTGTGCCTCTGGTTCAGATGTTTGTAACTAACTTACTGACCTTTCCTTCATTGGTATTCCTAAGTGCAACTGATGCGAAGCTGCAAAGGGAAACATAAAGTCAGAAGCCTGGCCTTGAAGCTGTGTGTATGAGTTGTGGCTCAAATAACTGACAGAAGAATGGCTTGCCTGCTTCCTCCTGGAGCCCTGCCTCGCGTATGTCAGGCAATAGGATGGGGACTGGTGCTTTCATCAGATGTATTATAAATAGAATTAGCATAATGCACAGGGTGGGCTCTCAGCTGGTAGAAGTAGCCATAGTTAGATTGATTTCTGCAGTTTTTTTCAGTTATGAATGTGGTTTGTGCCATTCCTGTTTTTGCTGTGTCCTAGTTGCAGCATGTTTGTATACGGCTTCATTCTATATTACAGTCTTAAGAAAAGCACAGCCAGCAAAAATCCGTCTCTGTCTTCTCCAGAAGGTCCTTACCTGCTTGGGGCAGTCACATACATGCCTTCCCATTGCTTGGTGTCTCTGGATGGACCCCAGCTCATCTTATTTCTAGATGACAGTTTTCCTGTTCCATCACAGGTCTGTCACCTTGGTTCGTTTTGCACTCACCCCAGTCAGTGGGAGTTCAAGGAGTGAGACAGGATTTCACTCCATTTCTCTGTCCAATCTGCATTATGGAACACTCAGCACCCACGTATGTGCACTTCATCAGCTCTGCTATTAATTAAATATGTTCCCAGGGGACATACATAGCCAGATGTGATTAAGCCACCAAAGTGGATTTGTGTGGATTGTCGATTTGAACTCTACAGTGTTTCCTGGGGCAAGGAGAGAAGTTGTTTTCTCCGTGTGTGTGTGTGTGTGTGTTTGGAAAGCCCATTTCTCAGGTTATTTTGGATTTGAACGTAACATTTTTTTCTGAAGATTTGGGAATCACATGCTGGGGACATAAATGCAAGGCATGAAAAGTACATTTTAACTGCTATGAGCAGAATGATCTGGAACAAACTATCAGTCCATCTGGCTAACCTGCTCATGTGATCTTTGGCAGCTACCGATGCGTGGCACTGTATCTTATTTGAATGTAGTTTACTCTGAAAAATGACTTTAAGTGAAGTTGGTATTGTGAAGTTCCATAGTTCACTGTATTTCCATACTCAGGCTTTATCAGTCTGTGACTACTAGTTTTTTGCACATCTGTTTCTGAAATAATCCTATATTCTTTTTAGCTCAGCCTCAACAAGGATTCTGTAATTGGAAGTTAGTGATTGTATGGACTATATACAAACCAAAATAAAATCTAGTTTTCACTGTCATAACTGTAGTCTCCACAGGGATTAGCGGGAGTAAAATTTGATTTACAACTCAGTCACTTGAACAAACATAATTCTGATTATGCACAAAAAACAATGAAATAATGCTGCTTTTATACAGTCACCTTTCAGGCTGTCATTAGAATATCTTCTTCGTATTAAAACAACTGTAGTTTTCTCAATTCCTTTTACCCAGGTATTAGCTGTAAATTGCTGGGTACCACTGAGTATATTCCAATATGACATTTGCTGTACAAAGAGTGAGGGCTGGCCGAAGCACAAACCCAGCTGCAGGGCTGTTAATCGGAAAACAGGCTAGCAAATGATTTCCTCAAGTTGCGGATGGTCTCAGCTTTTGCTTCATCTTCATTGGCATTCCCCCTCTGAGATGACTCAGATATGCTGAAGGTGTTTGTCAGGGACTGCGACTTGCTGAAATGGAAAACAGAGTTGAAACTCAGACTCAGCAGGAGAAGGTGCTTTTTTACAGCTGTTTACTGATGCTTTGTGCTTCACTGCAGAGACACTCCAGAAAAAAAACAAAAAAAGCAAGGAGAATCTCCATATGCTAAGACATCCAGGAACTGGGGAGAACAGGAGAGTAGGGGATGGGTGGCTCCAGTATCACAGTCCAGAACTCTTAACTGTTTATGAAGGCATTTGATTAAAAACCCACAATTGCCATTTGGTGCTACTCTTCCAACAAATACTGAGATCATGTAACTGTTAATACAGAAGAATAGACTTATACTGAAGATCACCTTTCTTTCACCAGCCACACCATGAATGGTGATCCATTTTGGGACTGCACAAAGTGGTAGCCGTGTCCCATGCAAAGTGTGCTGTTGCCTAGCCTCTTTGGCATGCCTACTCTGACTCTGCTGTGTGCACAGTCTTTTGGTTGGCCTCACTGGGTGTACACCCCCTAATGTTTTAGTTCAGATCTGGTCTGTGCTTATGAAGTAAATTTCCTTTTTTTTTCTTTCTACTGTGCTTTGTCACTGAGTGGTTTCTCTTGTCCACAGTAGGAATTCAGCACAAGACCAGACTCTGAATTAAAGTTCCTGAACTAAAGTACAGAGACTGCGTCCTTAGCAATAGTATTTTGATCTGTTAGTTCTCCGCTCTCAGTTTGCCTTACTAATTGTTGACATGATCACTGAAAATGTGTTCCAGAACATCACTCTTTTCTGTCTAAAAACTCTCTTTACAATTCTAGCTGACATTCTATCACTGGTCTGTTTGTGCCAATTTTTCTTTGCACCCACTTGGTCAACACCAAACATTTTATTGCGAAACTCTCCTGCCCTGGTGGAGTCAGATACATTCCACCAAGGGTGGCAGAAAAGGCTGCTACAAAAAATGTGCAATAATTCAGTGTTCCATCAGTGCTCTTAAGCATACAGTCACCATCTGGAGTTCTGTTTATGTATTAGTGCCACAGAGGGCAACTGATGTAATCTACCTGGACTTGTGCAAAGCTTTTGATGTGGTCCCTCACCACATCCTTATCTTTAAATTGGAGAGAGATGAGTTTGAAGCATAGACTATTCAGTGGATAAGGAATTGGTTGGAAGATCACAGTCAGAGTTGTGGACAATGGCTGTATGTCCAGATGGAGGCCAGTGACAACTGGTGTTTCCCAGAAAGTTCTACCTTGGAACTTACACTCTTTTACATCTTTATCAATGATGTAGGACAGTGACATAGGTGATGGAATCGAGCGCACCCTCAGCAAGTTCACAGCTGACACCAAGCTGAGTGGTGCAGTTATGTGGCAGAAGGAAGGAATGTCATCCAAAGGGAGCTTGACAAACTCAGAAGCTGGGCTTGTGTAAACCTAGTGAGGTTCAACAAAGCCAAGTGCAAGGTGTTGCACTTCAGGTGGGGCAATCCCAGATACGCGTACAGACTGGGGGAAGAACTCCTTGAGAGTAGCCCTGCTGAAAACGACTTGGTAGATGAAAAATTTAGCAAGAGCCAGCAGTGTATCCTTACAGCTTGGAAGGCCAACAGTGACCTGGGCTGCATCAGCTGAGGGGAGGCCAGCAGGGAGATAGCCCCTCTCTGCTCTGCCCTTGTGAGGCACCATCTGCAGTACTGCATGCAGATCTGAGGCCTCCAACTCAGGAAGGATGTGGAGCTGTTAGAGAGGGTCCAGAGAAGGGCCACAAAGATGATCAGGGGGCTGAAGCACTTCTATGAAGACAGGCTCAGCCAGCTGGGCTTGTTTAGCTTGGAAAAGAGAAGGCTATGGAGAGACATCATTGCAGCCTTCCAATATTTAAAGGGAGATTATAAACAGGAGGGAAATCAACTTTTTACACAACTAGATAGTGATAGGACAAGGGAGAATGTTTTTAAACTAAAGGAGGGGAGATTTAGGTTAGATGTAAGGGGGAAGTTTTTCACAGAGGGGGAGGTGAGATGCTGGCACAGGCTGCCCAGAGTAGCTATGGATGCCTTGTCTACAAGAGGCATTCAAGGCCAGGTTGGATGAGGCCCTTGGTAACCTGATCCAGTACTTGATCTAGTGGTTGTCAACCATGCTTACAGAGAAGGGGTTGGAGTCAGATGATCTTTGAGATCCCTTCCAACCCAAGCCATTCTGTGATTCTATGATACTGTGCTGCTTAGTCTGTAAGGGTAATGATTGCATACCCTGCTGGAAAGGCAGTAGTGTATTGATAAGGTCGGGACAGAGCACACATTTAGCAATAAGCACATGAACAAGAGGATGAATGTGAAGTCTTAATAGATGTAAAGTACAACTGGTTCTTCCTGATAGCAGGAAGACAGCAGAATCACTGGTGACCTGAGTTGTGCCTGGCATTTGTACTTCTGAAGTCTCTCACAGTTACCCAGGCCTTTGTCCCTGGGGACTGCTGCCTGTCAAGTTTTGCCTGACAAACTTTTTTTGAAAGCCTTATTTTAGTATCTGCAATTACCAGTGGTTTAACGGAGCACCTACTTCAGATGTGGCTGTGGGGTGGCTTGCTGCTTGGACGTTTCGGTGGGGCTTGGCTGGCTCGGAGCCCGGCCTTGGGCAGGAGGTCTGGGCTGCTGTGGTGGGAACACGCCTGCCTTGGAAGCCTGGACTGGAGAGGATCCAGCTGCCGATCGGATTTGCTGTGGAGATCCAGGTGACCTTTGCTGCTGAGGTGAAGTGGACAGGGGACTCTGAGGCTGCTGTCCTTGAGGAGAGAGCCGTTGCTGCGGAGGTGCATTTGTCCGTGGAGGCTGAGATGCCTGAGGCTGGCGTGGTCCACCTGGAAGGGTCGTGTAGATAATAAGCATGAGGAAGGTCACGTGGAAAATGAGCAAGTAGCATCTATATGGAGGGATGATATTTGCTAAGAGGAGAGACTACTCAGAGCAGTTTCATGCGAAAGGATAAGGAAAATCCTATTTCACAAAAAAAGAAAATCTAGCACTGGTGTCATGCCCATGTCTCTAGAGCTTTTGTAGTCCATTTCTTTATTTCTTTAAAAATTAAAGAAGTTTTGCCACTCTACCCAAAATAAGTTGCTTCAATGTGCTGTACTTTTCCATGTAATTAATATTTCTTGTTCTTGGTAAGCACTTGCATTGGGAAGGAAGATTGGTTTGGGTCAACAGGCTCTTCACGGGGCCAACATTTTTATGCAAAACTGTACACCCTATCATTATACATAGGTTTGTTCCAGCATTATCAGCAGCTGGTTTCAGCCATATTAGTAGCAGACCCTCAAAACAGATTCTGAACTTGATTATTTTGGTCACTACTCACTTTTGCTAATTTGAAAAAACTGCATGCAGCTCAATCTTAGTCATTAAAGCTGTGAGCAAAGACTAGGCTACTGAGTCAGCCTTGGCTCAGAGATATTGCTGGATATAACATAGCAGTGTGAAAAGCTGGCAAAAGTTAGTGTTGTGAGACTAGTTGGATTTCACGTGGTCAAAGTGGGAGCTGTGAGAAAAAAACATCACAGAGAATTGGAGGGGAATGCTGGGCACGTTCAGGAAAGAAGTATCCTACAAGGCCAATGATTCCTAAGTCATCATATCAGTAATACCATACTTGGTATGAGGAATGCAAAATTTTAGAAATAGCAAAGCTGGAACTGACGAGGAAAAGGTAATTAGAAGTGTGATTTTATTTGGGAGGAGATTGCAAAGGGAGGAAGGGACAAAGGTGGCAAAAAAGGATGGTCTGGAGGTGAATTGAATGCTTATTGTGATGTGAGGTACCTATAGAGCAGCCCCATTCCTCAACACCTCAGGCTAAATCTGGACAGTAAACCAAACGTGTTGTTCTGGCCAAGCCACAAGTCAAGACTGCTTCTGCTGTCAAGAGAAGTTGGGGGTGTGCTCTTCCTTGGTGACAGAGCAATGTGTGTATGGATGGATCAAGGATCCCGGTGTCACCATCTTGGTATCTACTCCAGGTGTGACAGCACCCACATCTTCCTATCACTTCTTTACACTTTTAGCTGCTACAGCTTTGTGTAAACACAAATACAGTGTGCTCCAAACCCTGATCCAATGCAACATCAAGTGGCAATGCTTTGCTGATCCAAACCCTAACAGTGTTATCAGCTGAATCTGTACTAGATTTTCATCTCACTCTCTGAGCTACTGTAGAGTATTACAGTAGCTCCTTTAATGGCTCACGGAATCTGCTGGCTGCTTATCAGTGAATTGAAACAATGAGTGAGACCTTATCTTCAGAGCTTTTATTTGGAAAGCAAACTGAAGTCTCACAGTCCATGTGATCATAAGGGTCCCAAACAACTGTACCTTGGGGAGGAGGCCGTGGCTGAGACAGTTGTGCAAGCTGAGGTCCAGGCTGAGTTTTCATTGTCTGAGGCTGAACTTGTGGAGGCTAGAGGAAAAAAAGAAAAGAAAAAAGCCATTCCTGTTAAAACAGAGTCCCCAGAGAGAAGCCCAGAGGTAATAGGAATAATGGAATCCTGAAGTGTTCGTTAAGTATATACACACAGCATCTCGCTGGTAAAATTTCAAGGGACTGAAAGAGAGAGCTGAATAATAATGAGCACATAAGTTGTTTGCTCACAGGGAATAACAGTGAAGTTATGGTTTATAATGTTTTCAGGCAATCGGGAATTGCCGAATTTATCAGGCCTGAGGGATCTCTTGGTCCCATTTCCCATTTTGGACAGTTGCCAGCACCAGATGCTCCAAAGGAAAAAGGGGTGAACCATGGAAACCTCTATGGAGTAATCATATATTTACCCTAAGGGGTCTTATCTTGATTGCTAGTAAGTAAGGACCAGCGTAAACCATGAAACATGAAGCTTACTATCTGCTCCACGTAATTTTTGCAACAATTGCAGATATTTTTAAACATCGACACCTGGACCCTTTGAAATTTATTCCTCTCTCAGCCTCACTACCTTCCAGACTTCTCAACTCCGTTATTTGAGTTTGAGAATAGTTCTCACAACCTACCTTTGCTAGGCCATTCATTATTTTGTAGGCTTTTACTGCCCCCTCTCTGATTTATGTCCTTTCTAAAGCCAACTGGCTGAATCCCTTCGCTCCCTCCATGGGAATGTTTCCAGGCTCCTAATCATTTTCATCACACACTTCTCTTTCCTGGCTTTGCAGTCCTTCCTGCAGATGCCAGAAGCAGGTCTGCTTGCATCACTGCAGATGAAGCACTATCTTGATTCTCTGTCACCAAATCATTACTTGTGCATCCAAATTCCTTGCTTCTCCCATGCCAACACAGCCCTAGTCTGAGTAATGCTTTTCATTAGTCTGTTTGCTACAATGTCTTTTTCAAGTGGCACAGTTAGTGGGACTTGCAAGGTGTACCTACTGTTTATATTCTTCTCCTCTTTACCCCTAGTTCAGCTTACTTTTCAGTCTCCAGCACAGTTTACTATTGTGGTGACTTAACATACACAGCTCTGTCAGAAGTTCTTCGCTACCATCCTTGGTTCTGACTAACCCAAATAAGTTGGTGCCATCTGCACTTTCTTCCCTCTCACTGTTTACTCTTTCTGACATCTATTTTAATAAATAGATTAAGCAATACAGAACTGTTGCACGTAGAGCTTGGTCCAAGGTTAACAAAAGTCTGTGTAAGCCTATTGCCTAAAATTGTTTATGAAAGAACACGGGAAGTTGGAGACAGATAGACTGGTATGTGCCAGATTATTTACATGGGGAACACAGTGATAAAGGGGTTGTCGAAGATCCTGGAAGGTCAGCAGAATGAGCTAAGTGATTTTGGAAATGGGAAGAAATGTTTCATAGTTGGACGCAGTAAAATGAGTTTCAACTGACTAGCATCAATGTGATGAGGTTGCCAGCCCATCTTGTGCACTATTTATCTAGGACATGCCAAAAAGTGGTGGGGGGAAACAAAGGAAATTTTCCATTTCATAGCTTCTAGTGCTGCATAGCTTGAGGCACTAAACCTTGTCTTGTTTTGGTGGAAGTGCACTATCCTAATCCCGTAAGACATCTCTGATTAGACTTGATTAGAGAAAGGGAGTCATATTGGCCTCTATAGCCTTTGCCTGTACCCAACCCAAGGCTTCCAAGAGACGAAGGCAAAACAGCATTTTGAGGCAGAGGTGAAGGGGTGAGGGCCACCCAAGGTCCTTCAGCCTCTGCAAAGAAAACAAAGAGGGGAAACAGCAGAAATGAGGCAGAGAGCCGTGAGAGAGCTGCAGCTGTAACCATAAAACTGTACATCATACGGTTGCCATGAAAAAAATGGTTGCTATTAATATTTTACAAGGTCAAGCTGAATCAGGCTTTGAGCAACTTGATCTACCCGTAGTTGTACCTGCTCTCTGCAATGAGGTTGGAATAGATGGCCTTTAATTGTCCCTTCCAACCCAATGATTCTATGATTCTGTGAAGTCCTGCGCTCAATCAACCCAATTAATAGCTAGTTATTAATGTGACAGGACCATGTTTAGTATCCTTTAATTTCCACTTTGCTAACTATTTGCAAGATTTAAAATCTCTCAGATCTATGTCTTCATCAGAGGCCAGATTCTGTTCCACAGTGAAACTTTGCCTTTCAGTCCCTCTCTCTCCTCGCTTTCTTCAATAGCTCATCTGGTACCTTGCCTTAGAGACAGTGAAGCTATATTATTTTGACTGACTTCCCGCTATCTACCACTTTATGAATATATTCTCAAATTGCTGATGGGCAAAGAATCAAAGGAAGATTGATGGATCATTTTTCTTCAGTATAAAAAGATTGTGGTGAATGCTCTTAAGTCACAGTTCTGTTGGTTTATACGTCTTCTGCATTAATTTTAAAATTAGTTATTGAGATAATTTTTAAGGTCTATGGCTTCCTTATGTACATATTTCTATATTACTCTTAAAGCCTTTTCAAATATAGATTTTGTATTATACACCAATCCTATGGAGTAATAACTGTTTCTAATGAAATAGTGCTTTTTTGGCAGCTGATTCACTTGCTACATTCGTTTCATTGGATGTAGCCAGCTGGATCAGGGGCTTAATAATTTTATAAAAATATCGATCATCACTAATTTAATCACTGAGTTTGTGCTCTGCTGTGTCTTTCTTATCAGGAAAATCTATGTATAGTTTAAGAAGTTCTTCACTTCCAGCAATTACAGTTAGTAGAGCCACATTCTGTCTGTGTTGTCTTCTTTTCCTCCCTTAATGCTGGATGATCCACAGAGCTTAGCAATCCTTTGGTAGGGTTCCATCTTCTGATGAACTCCGAGAAATTGTTTCATTCTTTCTTTCATCTGATCTTCAGAATCAAATTCCATCCCACTGCGGTTTCCTTGTACATAGATGTAAAGGTCTTTGCAAATGTCATATTTCCAAATCTGGAAGATTTTTTTGTCCATCTTCAATGTCTCCTTCTACTTTGCCATTAGGTCTAGGAGTTTATTTCTTGCATTCCTCATACAGGAGCAGATCTGCCATGTATGTATGTATTCAGGAAAACAATGTTCTCTTAAATAACATCCATAAAGAGTTGCTTATAGTACAAGGGAGCTTTTTCTTAACTTGTTAGTTTTACTAAAATCACCTTTTCTATCTGTCTGTGCCATATGGTTATTTTTTGATACCACATCTGTTCTTGGGACATCAAGCCTAGTACTACATGTTCACTTCCTCAGTATCTGGGTGATTTAGAAGGCTAGGTCATAGAATCGTAAAGTCATAGAATCGCAGAATCATGGAATGGTCAAGCTGCTCTTTCCTACTGCACTTGGATTCTGCAGTTCCCAGAAGTTACCTAAAAGCACTGTGAACTCTCTCTGACTTATTGTTCCACCATGTTATTGGACTTGCTTTTCAATAACTGTAGTTTCACTTTAATAAAACTTTTTGCTTCTTCCATTTCTGTCAGTTTCTTAATTTACTTTTTTTTTTTTTGATCCAGAAACTTGTACAGATAGCCACAATAATGTGTAGATATTCTATGCATACACATTGGATTTCCAAGAATTAATATTTCTGTGTATTTCTCTGCTTTTGCCTTTGGGGGTTGGACTCGCTGATCTCTGGAGGTCCCTTCCAACCCCTATGATTCTGTGATTCTGTATTCAATACTGCTCACCTTGTATTAAGAATTGTTTTCTTTTTCTTGATTCTGTGGAAGTCTACAGCTGTAGCTCCAGTTCTGCATCTCACTTGCCTTGCATTCAATGATATCTCTCTGTCAATTTTTAACTATGCATTATGACATTATGGTGGCAATTGTAATTTGTACAGTTACTGCAATGTTTGTTGTACATTTTGTGGCAATTGTAATTTGTACAGTTACTGCAATGTTTGTTGTACCCAGGTCTTTTTCTATAGTAAAACAGCAGTTAAAACATTTGTGATTTTAATTTTCTTGATCTCGTGTACAGATTATTTGTAGGTTGTATTCTTGATGAGGATTCTTATTTAAACATTCTATTTGACATCTTATCCTTCCAAGACCATTTGTTTTGTTCTTGTTTTAGCCCTATTTTAGGTCCGTTGTAATTCAATCCAGTCTTGTACCAGTACATCACAGACACAGACAACAGATGTATCTGTCCGTTTTCTTCTCAGTTTCTGCAGGCCTCCCCTTTGCTCTTCATTTATACACTCTATATCTTTGTTATTTCAGATGGCATTTGTTGATTCCATTCTGGCCAGAGTAAATCCTATCCTGTCTGTATCACTTTCTCTATCCCAAACCATTTTTAGTGTCTGTTAAATGTTTACCCTCTCCACTCTAGCAAAAATCTGTTTTGGAGTTACTCTGAGTACACTGCATGTTGGGACTTGGTTTAGAAGGGAGTGAGCTGTTGTATGACAGAGGCAGAAAGCCATAGAATCCAGTGTGTTGCAATCAGTGTTATCCCTTATCCTGCTTACTCTTCCTATTCTTTCTTTTGTACAGTTTTTGTTGTCCTCAACCCTTTGTTCTTGGCTCCCTGCTAGATGCTGCAAGAAGTGTAGCACATGCACCTTTAGACTGAATGTGCCATGAGGCACATTAAATGCAACAATGACATGTTCTTATATGGATTCAACAGTAGTTAAGTCTCCTACTGATCAGGGATGCAAAAACAGGAATGAAGCCTATCCTGAGGACTGGGTGTTGGATGGAGGTGAAGCAGAGAGTTGCAAACACCTCTAAAAATGTTGTCTTCAATAAAAATGGGATTTAATTTAGCAAGCCAGAATGTGTATGCACATGCATGGCCCACAGTACCACTGTGGTACCACAGCTATGAAGAAGGGGAGGAAGGGAGAGCAAACCATTTCTTAGGGGCATGCAATGCAAGCTATCTGCAAGAGACTTCTTTGGAAGGGTGAGAATCAATCAATACAACACACTCTCATGTGGGACTGTTCAACTCTATGAGACTTCTGATTACCACACACACACAGGAAAAAGAGGGAACAAAAGAGTTTGAGGAAACGTCTTGACCAAAACGTCTCTATTCTCTCATACCCAAGGTCTCAGTGGTGATGGGGTAGATCCAGCAGTGCTGACAAGCTGAGTCATTTTGGAAACAACCAGATCGGCTATCAGCTGTCTGTCCTCTTCCACATGCTCCCCAATCAGGGGCATCGAGCTGTCCATTACCTGCCAAGAGAGGGAAGAGCAGCAGTTAATAAGGAGAGCTCCTGGTGGCAGATGCATGTTTCAGATCACCTATCACACTACCTTGCTTCATGTCCCTGGCATTCTTACAAACACCTCTAGTCATCAATCCCCTCCATGCTAAAATATATTTGGTTGGGATTTCACTGTGGTGTTTTTGGAAATGACATGTACTTCATAGAATTGTTTGAGTTGGAAGGGACCCTTGAGAGCCATCTGGTCCAATTCACCTGCAATGAACAGGGACACCTGCAATGAACAGGGTGCTCAGAACCCCTACAACCCGATCTTGGATGACTCCAGGGATGGGGCATCCACCACTCCTCTGAGCAACCTGTGCCAGTGCCTTCCAATGCTTCCACCACACCCCATCTTCCACCCCTTAACAATTTGAAAGCCAAGCCACGTCTTCTGGTGTCTGAAGGCTTTCTAAATCAAGTAAACACAAACTTGCTTTTTCTCATCTCCTGAGGAGATGACTCTTGTGGATGGGGTTTCTCTAACATTGTGCCACAGCATTTGGGGGAGACACTGCAGAAGAAAGGGTCACATGCAGGCACAGGAGAATGGAAACACATTGTACTAAAGTCTGGGGAGATGAAAGTAACTAGTGCTGGCACAAATCAGGAAACATTTGGGATTAATAAACACAAAATACTGCACCCTGATAGGGGAAATAAACTCCACAGATACATAATGAATAGAACATTACCAAAATGATGGCATCTAATACAGAAAAGTAACTTATTCTCTGCTTTTCTTCTTGATATTGTCACGACACAACTGCTTCCCAACAAATACTAGAACTGTGCTGGAGGAAGCTGGCATGTAAAACTGTGGCTATGGGGTAAAGAGAGCTGTAAAAGGGTTTTTGAGGTAAAAAATGGTCTGACAACAACAATAGCAATGAAACACAGCAACCCCTCAGGTGCATAGCAGTCCTGAACACCATTTTCAGCAGTTCATTCTAAATCAAGTTCTTCACAAACATTAGCTAAATCCCACAGGAAGAGCTGCGCTATGATGAAGTTAAGATTCAGCTGGATTAAATATAGTTGTACCCAAATATCAGAGTTTATTTTGTTTCTGCTTTTATTTTTAAACCAAACGTTAAGAACCTTGGAGATGCAGAGTTAAAGGTTGTTTTGCTCCAGAAAGGCACTGACTCATGCTCAGATAACAACTGGATGTGCAATCCACTTTGGCAAGGCTGCAAGGCTGTGAGTGAAATGGAAGGTTTTACACTTTCTTTTTCTTTTTGTTTTTTCAAGTTAAAGTAGGGAAATCAGCTAGATGAGTTCACTGAGTTTGTATGTTGATGCTAGCCAGTTCTTGTGAAAAAGCTATTAATTTGCATTCATGTCTATTGGTGGCTCATGCAAACTCTAGAGAAGATGCCCAGGAGATTTAAAGTGGGAGTTTGCATGAATTTGGCATTTATATCCCTGGCTACTTGACCCTGAGTGTGAAAGAAGGAAGGCAGAAGATCTGATAAAAATGCTCAGCTCAATACACAAAGTGACTTATCTTTGCTGTTCAGTCTGTTTCTCTGCGAAAAGGGAGGTAGGAAAATATGTCTCCCTAGCAGTGTAAAATCCATGACGGCAGGGAACTGCCAGCATGCTCCTGTACCTCACTGCTCCTAGGAGCTTTCCAGCAGGTTTCTCAGCAGCTTTTCTCCCCCCAACTCCCTCATTAAAAGCATTCCCATCTTGTTTGGCGATTGCAGTTCAAACGTGCAAGAGATCTCAGCTCCACACAAGGCACCGTTCGAGGGCCCCATCTGACCACTAGATGGTGCCATTAGTCTGCTGACAGACCAGCCTAACCCTCCCAATGATAAAATTCAGTTTGAAACCAACCAACTAAAATAAAACTCCTAATTTCCCCACGTTGAGAATGCTCTTCCTTATTTCTGTGGCAGCAGTTGCTGGAGCAGAAAGGAAAGTTGCTATTTTATAAAGCAGAAGTACAACGGGAACGAACCCTGGAGCAGGTCCCATCTGAGACAGAGAACCACAGAATCACAAGGGTTGGAAAAGATCTCCAAGATCACCTAGTAAAACCATCAACCCATCCCCACCATGCCCACTAACTGAGGGTGCACTCGATCCCCTCATCAGGTCATCAATAAAAATACTAAACAGGACAGGACCCAGTACCAAACCCTGGAGAGCACCACTCATGGCTGGTCACCAGCTGGGTTTAATTCCATTCACCACCACTCTCTGGGCCTGGCAATCCAGCCAGTTCTTTACCCAATGGAGACTATGACCTGTCCAAGCCACTGCCAGCTGCCAGCCTCTCCAGGAGAATGCTGTGGGAGACTAAAGTCTAGGTGGAGTACATCCACAGCCTTTTCCTTATCCACTAGGAGCGTCACTTAGTCATAGAAGGAGAGTAGGTTGGTTATCAGGAAGATTCACCAGGGATCAGGGCACCTGCAGTGTGGGTGGTGTGTGTCTGGCAGAGGGACATGAACTGTGGGAGGCTGCCAATATGGGGGTGAGCAGTCAGACACATAGGAAAAAGCCTGTGAGAATGACAGTGATTTCGGTGAGCAAAAAGAACACAGCTGGCTGTCACTTGAGTGGAAAGGAGCATGAGATGTCACTTTGTGTCTCCTCCAGGAAAGGTGAGTGGCCCTGCAGCTGGGCAGACACTGACGTCAGCGCCGAAATAAACAAACTGGAAGGCTTCCCAAAGAGGTGGTGGAATCACCATCCCTGGAGGTGGTCGAGAGCTGTACGGATGTGGCACTGAGAGTCGTGGTTAGTGGGCATGGTAGGGAATGAGCTGACGGTTGGATTTGGTGATCTTGGTGATCTCGTCCAACCTTAATGTTTCTATGGTTCTATAAATATCAGAATCACAGATAGATTGCACAAATGCTGAGAAAAACACAGAGCAGCTGAGCAAAATAAGATGTTGACACACATGGTCCTGGCCTTCACAGCTGTCCAAGGTCAGTGGCTGCTCCTGAGGCAGCTGCTGCTGCCTGATAAGGGACGTGGGGGAACGGAAAGCAGCATGGCAAAGAGGAGGCTGAGGTAAACCCCGTCCTGCTCCTCCTCCTGCCCCTCTATGATGCTGAAGCCTAAAGGATGGTCATGCTCTTCTGTGCTCTGGTGTGCAAGAGTGGGGTTTTAGAGGATTTTTTAGGGAAGGAAAGAAGGAAGGACACATGATAAAGCATTTCAAAAGGACAGATAAGACATTGGTGAAGGGATGGGTAGGGCCAGCAGGGAGCATGTCTCTCATCACACAGCTTGGCTCCAGAGCAGATAGGGCTTAGCCAATCCAGGAGGAAGAATGCATCAAGTGGATCATTTTACTTGTCTCTCACTTGCTCCATATTTGTCAATATAGCAGAGATGTAGAAAAGGGTTAGACTGCCAAAAAGGAGGTGGGAGAGACCATACATACTGCTGAGCTCTTTTGAGAATCTGGCTGCTAACAGTGGTACCTAACTTTTGCTTTTTTGAGGGTTTGGCCTTTGGAATGTTCATGCTGAATATTCTTTTAAAATGATAGAGTTCTTTAAATCAGAGGAAAAGGAAGAATCAACATTTGCCATCATATTCACAGCTGTGAAACTTTGTAGAAATCAGTAGATTTCCTTTTGCACATGAAAATGGAACTTGTAGAACCATAGAATCATTAAGGCTGGAAAAGACCACTAAGATCATCTAGTCCAACTGTCAGCACATTCACACCATGCCCAGTGACAACGTGTGTTGTTGCTTTAAAGGGCAGAAGGGCAATAGGTCCTGGTATCTGCCACAGGAAAGGAAATGAAGGTGAAGTTCAAGTGGCAGCAAATACCATGAGTAAAAGATTATTCTTATCCTCTGCTGATAATTCATCTCTTTTAATCTGATTCTGTTTGCAATGAACCACTGTGATAAATTGCATTTCATAGACTTGCTTATCACTGCTTCTGCAATTCTTTCCTAGAGAACAGCTTTGCACTGTGAAAATTAATTACTGCCTGCAATTGCATTGTGCAAATTCCGTATTTGTTCAGGCCATTTAGGCATGCTTTCATGTAACATGTCACTGCATACTGTTCCTTCTCACCAAGAAAAACACAACTGTCGCACTGTCAAAAAACGTCTCTTTTTTCCCACTATCAAAAGAAAAAAGCAAAATAAAGGATCAGTTTCAGACCAAGAAGAGTACCCCAGGAAATAGGCTGGAGGCAATTAATTACTTGTCAGCATCTCTCTCAGATCTGCATAAAGTAGAAAAGATGCCTGTTTGGCTTTGTTCTGCTATTTGTATTGCACTGCTTTACTCCTTTCCCAACGGTGTCTGTCAGCCTGGCATCTGAATGCCTGCTGGTGTTGGTACATCGGAGCTGCTCAATCAGGTTTTCTGGTGGGATAATTCAGCATGACCCATCTGAAGCTAATGTGTGTCTTCTAATTTGTGCTGTATTAGATCTGTTGCTTTTTACCTTGGTCTTGGAGAGAGGGGAGTGTTAGTGTGCATTTCTCTGTGTGTGGTGATGGCTGTCAGCGGGTGGCTGTGCTTTTCATGCAGTCACTCACAGACACAGACAGATGTGAAAAGCCAGAGGTATATCCAGGCAGAGGCATATAATCCTTAAGCACAGAATTATCCATGTGTGCACGTACATAGGCTTACGTGCAGGAATAGATGTGGGGATATGAAAACCACATCTCACATCTGACCATGTATGGATACAGTCCAAATGTCCTTATGCTCGTTTTTAGCAAGACTGCTTTTCTGCTCTTCCTTTCTCAGCTACACGTGCGTAGAGATATACAAGTGCAGAGCAGGGAGGCAGTTTGCTCTGGGGGATGCTCCTCTAGGTGCTGATGAATTGCACACAGGAGCAGACTCATCACTACAGCAAAGGCAGAGCCTCACCAGCGTTTCATTGCTGGCAACGGTGCTTGGATCACATGCCCTTTGACAGGTCGCTGCTCCCCGGAGAGCAGATACATAATGCTGGAATGTGCAGTCGCTGGAGGGCTCATGTGGTTCTCATCAGCATCCCAACCCTCAGCGGGTGGGACTGCTCTCCCACACATATCTTTCCAGTGTGTCAGCACCCCTTCATGAAGCCATAGGCTGGCTCTGCTCATCTTCCTCAGCTGGCTTGTGTTGGCGGAGTTTACAGCAGGTCAGATGCTGTGCCTCCTTGAATCACATAGTGACAGAGGCACTTGCTTACTGGTCACATTTTCTCTCCCCCAGGGCATCTCTTAGGTTTCCACTTGGATTTTCTGGCCAGTTTTTCCCCCCCTTCCCTGTTCAAATGACCTGAGCGTCCTGTACACCCATTCCCATCTGTGCCTCTGGTCTGCTGAGGAACACACTGATTCTTAGCTCCAAGAGCCACTAAGTCTAAATCTCCCTCTATCAATTTGAAACCATCTCCCCTTCTCTTATCACAACTGACCTGCTAAAGAGTCTGTCCTCTTCTTTCTTACAGCCTCCTTTCAGATATTGGAAGGCTGCTATCAGGTCCCCCCACATCCTTCTCTTCTCCAGGCTGAACAGCCCCAGCTCTCTCAGCCTGTCTTTGTAGGAGAGGTGTTCCATCCGTTGGGTCATTTTTGTGGCCCTCTTCTGGATGGACTCCAACAGGTCCACATCTCCTCTGTACTGAGAACTCCACATCTGGACGCAGTACTCCAGGTGAAGTCTCACCAGTCAGTCAGTTTGCCTGAGGCTGTGAATTAGACTCTTGCGTATCAGTGAACCAGAGCTTGGAGGAGACAAATGGGCACCCTAGAGCAGTGACTGCTGGACCTCGAATGTTGGTGTGAGTGAGCATATTGGTGCATATAAACTCTGAGGGAAAGTGTTTGCAGATACAGTTCCCCAAGGTTGCCCTTGCTCTCACCTCAATGATATAGTCTTTTCCATCTTTGCTGTGGACAGCTTTGACAGCACAAATATCAAGACCTCCAAACATTTCCGCACAGGCATCCACCCACAGTCTGTACCTGCAGAAAGCACAGAGGCATGGACTACGATTAGCTGCCTTAGTGATACACTAATACAGTTACCCATCCCAACGCCTGCACAAAGAGATTCTGGAGCCCCTTTAATCGTAAGGCATTACTGATATGCTCTGCCCTCATTTTTTGCACCCCAAAAAATCAAGAGAATTTTGTCTGAAGCTTCCTGTTAGTTCAGATTGCCTCAATTCTGCCCTCAAAGCCACCTTAAAACATTTCTTTCCCTCCTTGGTATTTACATCAGATATCCAGCCGGTTGTCATTTAGCCAAGCTATAAATATTTAGCTCATTCTATCTCCCAGAAGATTTGGCCCCTTAGAATTTGTACTGGCTTTGCCTGAAAGCCCTCCATTATGCAGAAAACTTCTCCTGATAAGACATTCAGGACACCGGGGCTTCATTAAGATGGGAATGTGAGTGCAGAACTTTGCAGAGTAGCCATCCCCTCTGTGATCTGTTACCCAGCAGCTCCTCTTTTTACAATTCACTCTTTCAGTGTCATCCTTCCACAGCTCCTCACCACCCTCCCATCCCTTGGACATTGTTCCTGGCCAGGTGGTCTCATCACACAGACTAGGCTGCAGCCACTTTCTCTGGCCATCCCAGAACAGGACTATCAGCTGCTCTGAGCTGAGGCCAGCTTTGTCAGGGTGCCCCTTTAGCTGTCCCGGTGTCAGAGGAGGAGAGGGAATGACAAGAGGCATATTATGAATGGACTGCATCCCCCCTGCTGTGGAAATGAGGAGGGAACGAGGCGGCCTGGTTTTATTTCCTGTGCAGCTGCTTTGCAGTCCTGAGCATTTCAATAAAAATAATAATCTCCGAAGAGCAGATCTGTAAGCAGGACTGTGACAAGATGCGGGGAGGGGAGGCCACAGCCTCTTGAAAACACTGACATTTTGCAGGCCCTCAGGGGACTGGGAAAAGAGCTGTTTTGGCCAAAGATCAAGTTTACATCCTTGAAGCCAGCCAGAGTCCCCATGGCTTGACAACATAATGATCAACTTGTGTGAACGCAATGTCTGAGGGAAAATGGCTCCTAATGAGGAGACCAAGCATGTTCACCCCAGGCCCTGTTAGGAGGGCAGAGCCTGAGAATAAATAACTGGCATGAAGAGGAGAGCTGTGCATCCTCTGAGCTCTGAAGCACTGCTTGCAGTGCTATGGGGCAGGGGAGCACTTTATGCCTACAAATCAGCAGCAGTATTTATGGAGTTTCACTATCGTTTTGCCCAGTATGACTTGGATATGTCAATCCTTTGGGCTATTGTTGAGTACAGTACGTACTTCAGATTGTTTTCACTTGGCAAAGCATTTTGGCATGCTTCTGCCTTGTATGCACTGATGACTTAGATTTCAATGGGATTTGTTGCATTTGTGGCTAGATAAGGCTCAGTGAGTTGTGGTACTACTATAATCAGAACCTTCAAAATTCAGCTGGTCTGTCGGCAGTGATCTGGGCTTTAAAATCAGAATCATGCAATCACAGAATGGCTTGGGTTGGAAGTGACCTCAAATCATCTAGTTCCAACCCCATGCTGCGGGCAGAGTTGCCAACCACTAAAGCAGGCAGCAGGTGCAATTAGAAATGTCTACCTGTCATCTCTCTGGCTTCAATTGTGTTGTAAACAACCAGGATACATATTAATGTCCAGCTTCCACAGTCATAGTAGGGTCTTGAAGCATCACCTTTGGCATCAGTTTAGTAGCTTGGTTTGGTTTCCCAGTTTTGCAGAATTGAAGCTGCAGAAGGGACCTTATATGATCACCTGCACAACTCTTCTACTTCAAAGAAGAGGCATTTCTCTAATCCAGTGTGAAAGAGGACAGAGATCCCCTATTCCCTCCAGGTAATTCATTTTTGTGCTATTATCCTTACTATTAGGAAATATTTACTAAGCCCAAGTGAACCTTTTCTGCTGTAGTTTAAACTTATTATTTCTTACAGCATTGCGCTAGCAATATAAAGGTGGCTAATGTCTTTTATATATTTCAAGACCTTATGCTCTTTAATTTTTATCCTCTAGGGTGAGGCATTGTTCAGGTTGTGGACAACTTCTTCCAGCTCTCTGAAAGCTAATGAAGAAAACTGAACATCAGAACTAAAGGCATACATTCGCTGTGCACAAGTGCACACCTCTCCTGAAAAAAATATCACAGTCTGCTAACTGGAAAAGGTAGAACACGACATAAGCAATTGCTACATTCTCTACTCTGAGCATCCCCTTTATTCTCCTTTGACCTCTCTCCAGCTCACTGTTATCTCTCTTCAAATGTGGTGCCCAAACCTGGGCAGAGTTAGAATTAACCATGACCTTAAGATCATGGGGAACAGGAGACACCTACTGAAAAGAAAAAAAAAATCTTAGATTCACTAGGCCTGATTGAGTACACATATTATATGGATTCTTTAAATCTATGAATAACCTACTTTAAAAAAGCAAGATGGAGAACAAGTAACTTGATAGAAGTTCTATAGAAAAGCATATGGAAAATACATCAAAGCAAAAGTCACCGGGAGTCAACAATATCATGCAGTTTCAATACTAGCAAATATCACAGTGTTTTGAATATACAGAAGTACCATCTGCAAAGTTTAGAGTGCAAGGTGCATGAGGCAATTCCTTCTGCACTGTCGAGCAGTGTGGCTTTCACGCAAACAGCGTCCGCTTTTGAGAGCCTAATGCTTTCAACACTTCAACGGGCAGATTTTTCCTTCTATTGGACAGAAGAAAAACACTTTTTCCACATCTGCCTCTCATTTGTAATGTGCTTAGAATAACTTCTTGTTCTCGTTTTGTGCTGTGACCTTGCTGATTTTGTACCTACATGTTTGTACTTGTGTGCTCGACCTTACTATGCTGGTCTTGCTTCCTGTGGCTAAATTCACTAAAGATCTAATGACCTGGCAATGCTGATCTCTAGCTGTCCTTCCAGTCCGTTCTCCAAAATAGGACAGTTTGCCTTTGTGCCCTTAGTATTTTTTTAAGGAAATACTTGGTCTTTAAACTCCTTTATCCAGCCTCCCAGGAGACCTCTCTTACCAGTTCTCTCAATTAACTGAGGTCTAAAATACAATTCCTCCCTTCTAAGCCAAGAATAGTTAGTACTCTCTTGAAACCCTCTTCCTTACCTCTCTGTCATTGCAATCTGTTCCAGCATTGCAGAACCTGTGTTTGCCTTCCAGTTTCCAGAGATAGACGTCCTCCTAGAAAAAACAAACCAGAAACAGAACCAGAACATGAAAATGCATACATTCCTGCCCCATCCTCCCTCATACTGCAGTTCTCGTCCTTGACTTAGTGCTTGCATGGGAGGGGATGAGGTGAGGTTCTTCCTTGTAGAAATCTTTCCAAATCCTGCCTCAGCAACACTCCATACAGGATACGTTGTTCAAACTCATGAAAGGCCGAATGAGGAATTAGGCAAGGAAATCTCCAAGGAATCTTGAGCACACATCAAGCCCTATGAATACTTTCTTTCTTTACACCTCAGGCCTAGGAAAGCTAAAATGTCAGGAGAAGGTCTCTGGGATAATCACCCTTGTGTTCTGCAATAGTAGCATCCTCCATCTGTGGAAGAACAACACTCCATGCAAACATCTGACTAAGCAGTTCCACAAATGTCAGCTCTAACACTCTGGGTCTCCGTAAATTTGACTGCAGTTGTACTGGTGTCATAGAAAATACGATTATACACTCTTTTTCCACTGACTTCCCACTGACCTTTCTGTGGCTTACTATGTTTTGGTCTTGGAGAATTTATAATTGCAAAATGGTTACCGTCTCATAAGTTGCAAGTGATGGTTAATTTCCAAAAAAAGGTGGTGTTGCTGGGTTTCACCATCATCCATGAGAAGGTGACAATTTTCCTTTCCTTGACCTTAGGCACAGGGCAGACCTTGGACAGCCTGCTGTGACATCACTGTGCAGATAACCCTGGCAGAATAGCCTGCTAGAGCAAATCAACAAGCTGACAGATACACCTAGGAAGAATCTCCACAATGGAAAAGATTTAGGAAAAGGAGTGTGCTGTGTGATCCAGCGCTTTCAACATGTGGTTTTGGAAACCCCCTCTCCCTGTGTTCTCACCTTTGTAACATGATGTAGAAAAGACTTTGAACTCATAAGGTTATATAGATCAGTCATAATACTGATGTCCTGCTTTATAGTAAATCTGAATCATTATAGTTGGCTACCTAGGGTTTCCCTTCACTCTGGTGAGGGACAGCCTGGTGTCCTTTTCCATTTCTTTTCTGAAGTGGTATGTACAGTTGCTGTGAAATTTAAATGGTCTTTTTAACCCATATTTTAAGAGAGGAAGGGGGCCAAAAATTACTCTTGAATAATTGTGTTTTTATACTGTTAGCTCTTCCCTTTTGTTACCTTCACCCAACATCCATCTTCCCACCCTACATTCTAAGCAAAAATATAGATTCCTCCTTGAGCTTTGGTTGTTAAGAGTCCTTTGATGGCTTGTGTTCACCCCTCAGCCTCTCTTTTTCTATTGACACGTGAGTCTTCGATTTTGTTCTTCAGTTCTGTAATGGGAAGAGCCATTCTTCACTATCATATAGGTTCAGAAAGTTTCCCTGCAGTGGCAGGTGGCATCTGGAATTCCATTATTACTGAGAACTCCTGGAGTGTGATTAGTAACAGAATGACTGAATATCAGTGCTCAGAAAATGCAGCCAGCATACCAAATGTAAGCAGTTGATTCACTGGTGAGAAAACCAAACCATAGCCATAGTTTTACAAGGAAAGGTGAAATCCTAACTGGGGATGATCCCTCGATCCTGAGCTGAGGAAAGGGTGGAGTGTATAATCTCTCCCCCAGTTTCTGCTGCCACATGAGAAGTATTCATGTTTTCTCTTCACCAGTATTACAATGTCGGTCAAATGCATTTGGTGGAATTTTAGGCACGTATTACATGCTGCTTATCTGCTGTTTTGTAGCTGGCCCGAGGCATGAGCTAAGTAGGTGTTTGTTAGTAGTGTAAAGCTGGAGTCACTGCACTGAAGTCAATGGGAAACTGAACTCAAGCCTTGGGTCATGGGCTGGAAGGAAGTGCATTGAACATCTGGGGCGGGAAGGAATGCATGAGTCACCCTCAGCATCCTCCCTCTGGCAGATGCTTGGTGCAAAGTAAACATAATATGCAGAAATTCTGGTACGCTGTCTGTTGTCAGAAGGAAGAAGTTTTTAAAGCTTATATGTGTGGGTGTAGGTATAGAAATCCTGGGTAGTTTCCATGGCTCACACATCAAAGAAATTCACTTCATCTGACACATGCTGCATTGCCTCTGAGGCTGAGATTTGCTATCATAACTAACGATTTTGAGACACCAGTGAGAGTTCTGATATTTTGGGTGCCTTTACTTCTGCCCTCTGACATCATAAGGACTTATTTATACCGTAGAAATAATCTATTCAGTCTGATGCCCTGAAGGAAGAGCCCATGATCAGACTGGTTATACCATCCTCCCAAGCTCACTTCCATAAATGGCTCTCTAAATTTAAATAAATACTCTGGCTTAGCAAGTCACATGGCTGTTTTTGCTGTTTTGTGAAGAAGCTTAATTTCTCATTAAGGTGTTTCTTATTCATGGCTGTTTTTGTATGGAAACATGCCTCATCTACCAAACAATTACTTACACAGCTATATTCCCCAGTGAGATTAGCTTTTAGTGTGACTGCTCTCTTTCCTCAATTATCCCGTATTATTTCTGATCACTGACTGGATGAGAGTGTGGTGGGTGTGAATAATAAACAGGGACAGGGCATGGTCAGCCTAACTGGGTCCTTGTTTCACACAGGGACAGGCTGGGAGCAGACTAAGGTCCCAAGGCTGAGTGGGTTGGCAGGAACAGGGAATTTTAATGGACATTTAATACCTTCTTTCCTTTGGCCAATTTGAACTGTTGTCGACCTGATCAGATTTAAAATAACATTTCTCTCATTAGGTTCATATGAAGTAGCTGAGTGTCCCACACATCCTTCCCAAGAAGTCATTATCTAGCTAATTTAAATACCTCTGTGCTAGGAATCCAACCAGGCAGCTAGAACCGAAAAATGTGTGAGCACATGCTTTTGATTATCTTACTTAACTACACTTGCACCAGAGCTATATGGCCTGCAACTCACAGTGTTGCAGGTCTTAGGTAAGACATGAAATGTATCTGGTGATCTGAAGAATGCACTGCTGGAGCTATTTGTCCTGAATTTTGCAGCTGGGTAAGGAGTGGTATTGCTGGAGAAGTCGTGCTATTTGACTGTGCTTGTCTACTGGCTTGCAGTAAAAAGAAACAGGTGTTGAGTCATGTGGTTACATCTTCAATTAAGCTTGACTTGACGACTCCTGAAATTTGGCTGAGCACTTTTTAATATTTTCAGACACACCAGTGTTGAGTGCTGCTTTCGTGCCACTCCCTTATTACCCCGCAGAGCAGGGAGGAGCTGTAGGGCACCTGCACGAATATCTGTCCTCCTTTTTCCCCTTCTTTGTATGCCTCAGGGAGCAATCATGCAAAATGCCGATGGAAACACTGCATGCTGGCCAAATTGAGACTATCCTTACCTGGTGCTGCATGCTCCTCATGCCCTCCTGAGAGCATGGTGCCATGAGCTCTGGCATGGGAGGAGACAGGGCATTGCTATAGGTTGGACACTGTAGGACTCCACAAGGTGCAACCAACTCTGATAAAGTTTTCAGCTCCCCAGCTGTTGGGACACCCTTCTTGTTTTATTGCTTCCCCTTTTTTATTGTGTGTCCAGCTGGGAAGGTGGTGGGTTTGGTTCCCACAGGAAGACACAGGGAGATGGAGGGGTTTACTAAATGGCTGGATATGATGACCCCTTTTGCAAGGAAAGGTGCAGGTGGGAAGTGGTGGTAGAACATGGTTTTTACAGTGGAAACAAAGTGAAGATCAACAACAGATAGAGAAGGGTTTATTTTCCAGTGACAATGATGGTGAGTAACAAGGATGATCAGTGGCAGAGGGATCTGGGTTCAGAGGTGGGAGGAGAACAATGGGGCCATTTTCTCAAATAAATTAAGTCAGCCTCCTGTTCCTGCCCAGACGCTAAACGAATTGCATCCCCAGCAATATCTCCCCACATGTCACCCCGACATAGCCACACACTCACATGTAAGCTTTGTAATTGTTGCCAATTTTCTGGATTCGGATGTCATACTTGGAGTCGATGAATGGCTCGGAGGTGGCGTAGGTCTTTGCCATGGCTATGATGCTGGCTATGTCACGGAAGTCATACTGGTTCTCTACTTTGACCTTGATTGCCAAAATTTCAGCAAAAACATGACAGGTGCAAAAAGAACAGGAATATTTGGTAAGTGGAAGTCATCTCCATGCCTGAATCACACAATGTCAGTTAGCACAGACAGAGTTAAGAACAGAGCAGGAATTGTGTGGTTTAAAGAAAAAGCTTCCTGAGACCAAAACAGACCAGAGCAACCCCTTTCTCCTGCCTCATGCACAAGCCCTGGTGAAGCTGGCATCATGGAGAGAGCTTGAGTTTTGCCCAGATGGCTCCTGCTAATGCTCATTGCTTTTATGATGCTTCAAAGAAATAATTGATCTCTTAAGAAGCATTACTTCATTTAGACACTGGAACAGCTATTTCCCATGTCGAGATGGAGGAAAACTGAGCATTTTGGGTGGCCAGGAAATCACGATCAGTGCCAAGAAATCAAGAGAGTTTGTTGTCTGCCACTTCTAGGCTTCATTTTTCTGGCATTTCACATTGCCTCCTCCCTGATTGTCTTTGAGGAGCGGTACAGGTCTCCTGCTGGAAGCAAGCTCAGAAGAAAAACAGGGTCTCTGGGGAAGCCTATGGTGCCTGCAGAGATCTGTGAGAGCAGGATGGCATGGGTGTGCGCAGGACAGCTGGTGGGGCGTTGGGCTTGAGTCACACTTGGAGATGAGATGGCAAGAACCTATGAAGTGGAGATTTTCTGAGAAGCTCGTTTTTCATGGATTTGTGTTCACTGATGAGAAACACTCTGAACTTTATCCAAAAAAAAAAAAAAAAAAAAAAAAGGACCGAAACAGTGCAAGCTGTAATGATATGTGCTTTGGGAGAGGAGCACTGAACAAGCTGGACATGGTGGACAACTTCATCTCATTCACACCACCAACCATAATCTTTAGTCAACTGGCAAAAATCTGCTTTGTGAATCAGAGAAACCCATCCAATTCTTCTTGCTCAGAACAGGACAGATGCAAGAAGGGTGGATTAAGTGGCAGAAGAAGAGCAGCACTGTGTGAAAAGGGTGAACAAGGAAGTGCCTTTCTTTACGTACTACCTATCCTTTGCAGTTTGGTAACATCTTGAGATCACGATTGGGGATTGCAGCCCAGCATTGCTGAGTGCTTGCTTGCAGCAAGCCGATGGTTTCTGCCCCAGAAGAGCTCCCCAGTTGCGTCAATGTGTATGTTAAAGGAGGGAGATGCCAGACTGCATGGAGCCGGCTGAGGGAAACACATGCAATCACATTTGGTTTTTCCTTGTGAAGAACAAACAAGTTGTTTTACATATCTGCCTTCAGCCATGAGAGGGCAGGAGCCATCTTCACTAGAGAACAGAGAACAAGCTTGTGGCTAACCTGTTGCACTGTTTGGACAGCTTGGTGCAAGCTCCAGTACCAGAAGCCAAAGATGCCTCCACATCCTGGTGCAAAGAAGTTCTTGAGAACTGCACAGGTTGTGGGGAAGGTGAAAAACACAACCAATCTGACCCACAACCACTTCTAGAAGCCTGAACAAAGAGAAAAAGGGCCTAGTGTCTGATTTTCCTCTTGCTGAATGCAGAATACTCCTTGTCCTTTTCCCTTTTTCTGTGGCAAGAGTTGGGCTTCTGCTATTCAGGACTGAATGAGAAATGGAGCAGAGGAGAACTACCGCCATATGGAGGGATGGGGGAAAACTAAGAAAAAAAAGGAATAAAAGACTGAAAGGGTCAATGTAAACCTTTGTATTTTGTGTGAGAGCAGGGCTGGGCTTTTACCTCTTATGTCTTGATGGGGAGCACTCCAGGCCAGGGAGCCCCAAGTCTGGGCACACCTCGCAAAATCCTGGGGTAGGGGGGAGGAGGAGGGGCAGGCATGCAGCTTGGGCAGTGCCAGGTGCTTTTGCTATAGAGATAAGAGTGGCTGGGATGTGTGACACGAAGTGGAGAGTGCCACCGCAAGGAGTCAGTGGCAGAAGAGACCTGAGAGTGCACGATGCAGGGGGTTGCCACAATCTTCTAGACCACTTTAGTCATGAGGAAAGACAAAAGCCATTATAGAATCACAGAAACGTCAAATAGTTTGAGTCAGAAGGAACCCTTAAAGGCCACCTAACCCAGCTCCCCTGCAATGCACAGGGACACCTACAGCTAGATGAGGGTGCTCAGAGCCCCTCCAGCCTGACCTTGGATGTCTGCAGGAATGGGGCATACACCATCTCTCCGGTCAACATGTGCCAGTGCTTCACTACCCTTATCATAAAAAAAAAAAAATAGGAAAAAAAAAGAAAACCTTTTTTCTTATATCCAATCTCCTCTCTTTTAGTTTGTGTCATTATGTAATGACCTACTTGGAACAGGGACCTCTGTGGGATCTGACAGAAAGTGCTGTGCTTGTACAACAGATGTCTCTGGGCCTTGGTTTGAGGCATTTGTGGTCTCAGCCCAGGAGTGTTGGCCTGTGAGGTAGAGGAAGGGATGCCATTTCCCCTCGCAGGCTGGAGTTAGACCGTCTCAGTGTTCCTATAAAGAAGTTGTATGCTCTTCTCATTAAATAGGGTTTCTCCTCAAAAAAGTGGTGTGCTACAGGAAGGAAGGGTGAATTCCTTCCTGCTCTCCATCAGCTCCTCCCTATGGGGAGAGAGAGGATGAATGTGAAGCACATTTTCTCTATGGGACCTGACACAAACTAAGAAATGAACACAGCAGATGATTCCCCTGGTGCTACCGCATTGCACCGCCTCTTGGAAATAGCTTTGCCTTCTTTCCCAGCCAGTGCCACAGACATTCCCATGGGCTTTTCAGAGAAAGTACCTTGCCAGGTCCCCTTCTGGGAGGCTAAGGCCCTGTTTCCCACCAGGCATCAAAATAATCACCACACCAAAGCTGAAATCTGAGCTGCCCCTTGTTAATTGTTAGAGCCAGCCAAATCTGACAAAATAACAACTGTGTCCTGGGTTAATGCTGGCTTAGGCCTGGATGCGGTTATTACTTGATAAACAGGAAGCACTCCAGTTACAGTCAAATTAGATTTATTTTCCTGCCTTATCTATCAAGTCTGCCATTTTATTAGCTTTCTACTTTTACATTTTTTATAACTCATTTCCTCCAGACTTGTAACTGTCTTACACATTGATAAAGTATTCATTCTTCTAACAGGAGGAAAAAATCCATGGAAAATAACCAAAGGCAGAATGTATGCAGTGTGACATCAGAGGGCATCATTTAAGATGGGACTGTTAAAAATGATTACTGATCAAATAGTTATCGATTTACCTAGTAAGAGATAAATCTACTTTCTAAAACGGCAGGCTGGCCACAATGTGGAAGCAAGAAAAGAAGTTGGAAAGAAATCAGCAGGAAGCTATTTTCTCTCTCTTTTTTTTTTTTTTCACCCTTCTTAGGATAAATGCAATATCCCACTAGCTGCGCAGAGGAGTGCAAACAGCAAGTGCAAACACAGCCCCTGCCCTGCCAGCCTGTTTGCTTAGCTGTGCTGGCTGTTTGAGCAGCAATAGGCTCATTCTGGAGCCATCAGCTGCTGTTTGCTGTAGCGTTTTAGTGACCTGTTGTGAAGAGCTTGGGGCAGTGTGTTGACAAATGCCTTTTCTGAGCAAGAAATCTCTCCAGGAGAGTCCCCGCTTCCCTTCTGGCTCTCTTCTTCCATGTGGGTGCCAGCAGTGTCCCACTACACTCCTCTGGGTGCAGTAGAGAGGGACCTGGATCCCCAGGGATATCCTCACACAAGTGGGTCCTGCTCTCTGCCTAGCAGTGGCCCTTCAGAAGAAGATACTGTTCCCATCCCCATCTGCAGCTTTCCCAACAGGCACTGATCTAGCCTCTTCCCGAGCAGAACTGGGCAAAATCTTCATGGATTCATAGAGTTGTTTGAGTTGGAAGGAACCCATAAGGGTCATCAAGTTGAACTCCCCTGCAATGAACAGGGACACCCACAGCTAGAGCAGGGCACTCAGAGCCCCTCCAGCCTGACCTTGGATGTCTCTGGGGATGGAGCTTCCACTGCATTCCTGGTCAACCTGTTCAGTTTACTACCCTTATAATAAAACCTTTTTTTTTTTTTTATTTTTTTTATTATCCAATCTAAATCTCTCCTCTTTTAGTTTGAACCCATTTCCTATCACGAGAAACCCTGAGAAAGAGTCTGTCTCCTTCTGTCTTACAGCCCCCCTTTAGATACTGAAAGGCTTCTAAACTTCTACTGCCTCAGTCTCCAGGCCCCAAATCTCCTCCCTGCTTCTTGTATACCCCACATCTTTCTGCACACTATGATCCTAGGGCTGTGGCCTTCTTCTCTCATCTTCAACCTAAGCACCGCAGGTATTGCCTCACTGTGCCCTTTTGCTTTCATTAGTGATGTGGCCACATGAAAAAATAACTGTCAGTTGGCTGGAGTGTCAGAATTACAGTAGTTTGCAAGGGCTCCCTTTGCCTTGCCTCATCAAGTGCCATCCAGAGTTTGCTCAGTCTCACCGGTTAAACCCACACCACTGGGGACATGGCTTGCATATGCAGTTTCTCTGTCCAAACTGGGCTTAGAGGCAGGTTGAGCTGCAAGGTGAATGTCCTAAACTGAGCCAGGGCCAGACTTGGCTCTGTGGTGTTTAACTGAGTCCTACTAGGCTTGTAAAAATGCAAGCTCTGACTACTTTCCTTCATAGAAGCTGGCCTGGCCACATGGAGTTTGGGAGTTTTCATCCACCTCGACCTGCACATTGCCTCTCTGCAGTGACTGTGCCTTTTTGGGACAGCTGGCTCTGCACGGAGGGCTTCCTGCCTCTCTGCTTCCCTCTTCCCCATATCACACCCCCCTTCTCAGCAGATACTCGAGCAAGCTGACACACATTCACACATTCAGTTTAGGCCTAACCAAATGCCGTTTGCCCTTTGACCCACCTCAAAATAATAAAGATATACTAAAGTCTTCACTTCCTTATTATCCTCAAACTGAGGCTTTCCCGAATATCTCTACTACATTCAGTCTTATAATCCCTATTAATTTTCCAATGAATAGCTGCTCTCAACCACGGGTCTTGGCAGCTCTGGACCCCAGTATCCTGGCTCAGTCACTGCTTTCTGCATCTAGCGAAAGGTTCCAGACTGCTGTGCAAGAAATGAGGAGGATGCTCTTGCTATTTTCAAGATGGGTGTTACCTCCTCACTCATGAGTCAGTGGGAACACAGTGATTGGGCTTCTCTGTTCTGAATGTTACATGTCATTATTTGCCCTCTGTGAAAGAAAATATTTGTTCCTTGACAAACCGAGGCAGCCCTTTCCCCTTCCTTTCCTCTTTAGTGCATTGGATTTTCAAAGCTTTCACTTTTAGAACATTCTATTTCCAGTCCCGAGAGAGACAAGGTGATGAGCTGTCCTTCCTGATAAAAAGCTTGTGGTATTTTTACATTACATAGTGGCTCTGTTTAGTTTGTACTATATTTATATCAGAAAAAAAAAGAGAGAGAAAAAAAAGAAAAAAGAAAAAAAGAGAGAGAAGTCTTTCCCATCCAGTAAGAGAGAAAATAACTCTGACCACATTATTATGAACAACAAGTTTTTCTTCTGCAGTGTAATAAATTCATCTGAGCCAGGATTTGTACTGGAGGAGGCATTTTCATAATTATGGGGCAGGCATAGAGAGGAGGTGACTCTTAAACTGGCCTAATTAGAGAGATCTAAAAATAAAACAGAAGTAGCAATATATGTATATATTTATTAAATTTATATAAATATATGTAAAACCACACGAATAGAAACTGTTTTTCCTCTCTCTGCAGATCTGGCAGTTGTCTCTTTCTCATGATCTGATCAGGAAGAGGTGAAGAGGCTCTTTGAGTGACTTTGTAGTGCTGGGCTCTGTTCCTAGGACACTTTGGGGTCATGTTAACATACAAATGCCAGATATTAACACACTCAGAGCTTTATTTCTTCCAGTGGGCTCTGGCATTACAAGATCTGGAGTCAGGAATAAGTACTACTTCTTTCTCACTGTAGCACTCACCCTATTCAACAGAGACCCCCCCAACCACATTAAGGATAGATAGGCTCGAACTTCACAGTGCTTCAGAATGCCTTGACCTCTTGTGAATTGCTGGGTGAACAACAGTTCAGTGCAACACGAGGAAGCACTGCTCCCAGCATCCATCTGCGATTTTCCTGGAAAACACCTTGGGTATTGTTGAGGAGCTTAAATGCAGCTTGAGAAAGCTGTTTGCTGACTCCAATGTAAACCATCACCTAAGCAATATTTCTGATATTGCACTTGTATCAACACGGTATTGGACTAACAGTACACAGAATACTTGCTACAATTTTCCAGTGCCCATAAGATAGAGGTGACTTCAAATTTTGGAAGGGAGTTAATCATAGTCATGCGAGGGGCTGAGGAGCAGCAAGAACAGTTCTGTCACTGCTGGTGTACTGTCACCCCTCTTTGTTCTGTCTTTTTATGCTGGCTACTCTTCTTTCAAGATAAAACAATCAGAGGCTGTTTCTTAAAAATCCTAAAGCAGCTATTTTCCTTTTTACACTTAAGGATTCCCTGCTCAGCTCTTTCACCAAAAAAAACGTGGTGAATAAATTTATAAAAAATGCTTTGAAAACAGGATATTTGAAAATGAAAGTCTGACTATTACAATGACGCTCTTTCTAGACAGTATCACAACCTAATCAACAGTCAGTATTTTTTACAGTGCTATGAGCCTTATTAGCATGAATTAGCAGTAAGCACCAGGTAATCACTGTAGCACTGTGGTCTGTAACAGAGAAAATGAAGATCTGTGAAATGACACAAATATATCCCCACAAGTCAAGTGGAGCTGGTTGGGGAAGAAGCCTTCTCTTTGTCTGGCTCCTGGCCACTACCTCAGTACAAATAAAAAAAAAAGCAGTGTATGGACTTCCCATCTTTGCTCATTCTTCATAGCCTTGGTGCCTCCCATTGTACGTGATTTTATCATTAATAAAAAGAAAAATGTAAGCACTTCCTTGACAATTTCTCCTGGTAATGAGATTGTAATCTGAATACTTGCATCCTTTGAAGCACCCATTACAGGTACAGGTACATGGCTCTCTATCTTGGCATCGTTTGCTACAGTAAGTACTATTTTTAATGCACGAGTGTGTACTTTGACTAATAGGTTGTTTATTTTATCCTTTGTTTCTTCAATCACCGCTTTTACATAAAACATGACCTGATGCTGATGCTTTATTAACTTTTACTTTCTTACTCTCATCCAAACCAAGAGCAAACCTCTCTCTTTTCTTCCTGTGTATATTTCAGAGATAATAACCTGCTGTTTCTTTCTGTCATCTTTACTTCTGAAGACTAAGAAATCTCTTATCTCTCTCTCTCTAATTTCTCTATTATTCTCTATAATCTCCTTATTATCACTGATTATTACTTACATGTTATGATGGTTAAAATCATCATGTCTCCAGGGAACATTTCTCTTCTGAGTTACTTAAAAGGACATTTACATTTGATTATTCTTATTTATTTCTCTATATTTTTACCTCTAGGTGCTACTTTTTCAGTAAGCCCATAGTTCTGCTTATCTGGATTTCTGTCATTTTCTTACTTTTTTTTACTGTCAACCCTGCCATTGCCTTAAAAATAAAATAAAACAAATTCCTGTTACTTGTATTCTAAACCAACTGACTAGTTCTTTATTTTCACTCTCTCTTTTCTCTTTTTTTCCTCAATGCAATGAAATGAAACAGGACTTCAAGAAAACTAATTTAATCAGCCTCAACTTACCTTGAGGCTGTGGCTGGAGCAGAGCCCAAACTAAAACCATAAGGTCAACAGCCCTTCCTTCCTGTACCTTCCCCATTAACTAAAGAGACAAGTGCCCAGTGCCACATCCATACTTTGCTACTAGTCCCTACATTTCATAATGGACCAAAATAAACTTGGCCTCAGACCAGCTCTTTCTTCTAGGACGCCAGGTCTCAACAAATCTGCTTTTGGAATGATTTCCTATGTAACACCCTTGTACCACTGCATATAATTGAGCCTGCACTTTGCACAGAAACACTTTTTTTCTATAGCTTGCAACAGCAAAAACCAAGATTATTGTAGAGTAAAATGGAAGAGAAAATGAGAGGTGGAAGAAGATCTGCGGTGGTGCAGAAGACAACAGCTTCTGAGGACTGTTTTGTCTGCAAACACTGCTTTGGGTGGGATGCTTTCCTTTGATTCTTTCCTCATCTCTGTAGCCACCCAAGAGTCTGTATTGCAAAGAAAGACACATGAATCCCTCCCTACATTACAGATGAAATTGTGTAGTGGTCAGAGAGACCCAGAATTGCAGCAGGACTAAGAAACCCCACAGGGCCTCAGACAACTTGAAGCCTTTCATCAGGGAGAGTCTTCTTCCTCCAGTTCTATCCTGTTAGGAGTTTGCTAACAAAATCCTTCTTGGGGACATGTTCAGCAGCTCGTGCTGCAAGCAGCTCAAAGCTGTCTGCATGCAAGTATTCTAATTCAATGACACCTCTGCCTGTTTAAAATATGAAACACCAATATTTTAACAAACTTTTCCTGCTTATTTAAATGTTTGCTCTTTGATGCTGAAGGCCACTTCCACCACTTGCCCAGGAATCTGAGCCCACTTCCGCTGCAGCAGCTAACATCCACACATGGGAATGCTGCTGCAGCCAAAGGAAGGATGGTCATGAGAGCTTCTGTATGTGATTCAGAAAGCTAGAAAGCACTTTTGTTTACAGATGGCAAGCAAACAGGCTGTACCAGGCTTAGGTATGGTGTACCTATGTATACTTTTCAGGCAAACAGTGTGAGGCAGGGAGAAGAAGGGTCTGCTTTAGGGAAGTGCAGTGACAGGGATATCAATTACAAAGTTCATGTATCATCCATTTGGATTCAGAGATGATGCATCAGAATTCCCTGACTCTGAACAGATGTTTTGGACAGACAGAAGATGCTTTTTTAAAGAGGCATATGAAGGAAACAGGAGGCAAAAGTGCAGCAGAGACATACTGGAGATGCCTTGCTAAAAAGGGAGACCAGGCACCCCCAGAAACAGGGGCTGGCAATTCACTGGAGGAATAAAGATCCCAGTGAGCCTGGGAAAAACAAACAGGTCCTTCTGGGGAGCGAACTGTTTTTCAGGATTCCTTGGCAGGCAACCAGCCACTCTGCTTTGTAAGGTCTTGTTCTTCCTTGCAAGGAGGAAAAAAATAGCTGAAGGGCTCCCACTTTATTGAATAAGGTCATCGTCATGCTCTCAAAAGGACCAGAGCTGCTGTGCCTCGTTGTGAGAGCTATGGGGTGTAGCTGCACATTGCAGGTGCTTGAATAAACAACATTGCTGCTTTTGAGAGAGCAGAAAATGTATAAAAGCCAAGCTGAATGGCTCCTGCCTGCCCAGCCTTCCCCCCACTCTTCTGAACCCCCTCCCACACCCTGGCAGCCTCCAGACTGACACCGCTGCCTGGCTCTGTGCGTGACAGCAGCAGGAGGCCTTTTCTCCCACAGGAACAGCCAGTGCCACTCAGATAGGCTGTGGGAAGGTTTAACTCCCTGCTGGCTGATTGCACGCAAGGAGGCTGTGCCACACAGATATCTCTTTCCTGAACTGCATGTATTTTTTCCTTTACTTACCTTCCCCATTCCGGCATGAGCGTGTCCCAGCTTGACCACTACAGGGAAATTCGGAGTCGTGAGCTGAAAGACAGAAGAAGGAACTCATTAGTCTTTATTTCCAGCCATTGTATTTGAAATAGTTTACTTTCATTTGGTTGCTTTTATCCCCTGCCTAGATGCTGATGGGAAGATAAACAGGTCCAATAAAGACTGCCCAGGTGGCAGCTCAATAAGCAAGTGGCTCTTTGCTGGGACACACGTGGTCGGAAACAGAGGACAGGCAGAACTCTTCAGATCTGACCCTCTTTTGCTGCGTGATAACATTAACTTCTAAAACCACTTTTTCTCCCCCACCATGTATGTGTGGATATGCATGTGTGTGTATGTGCATGTAAAAAACTCCACCTGCCAGCGTGAATACACGAGCACTTTCAGGAGCTGAAAACATTTGAATTCTAAGAAAGATGAGGATTGTTGCTCTTTTCACACAGATTGCTTTGGCCTTCAGCATGAGTGTGAGCAGTCCCTCGAGTGCAGCTCCCGTTCCCCTCCCTCCAGCAGTGGTGGGGGAAGGAGAGGGGAAGAGGGGCCAGCTCTCGGGTACAACTCACAAAGTCCATCTATTCACAAAGTCTCTCCCTTTCTCCTCTAACTTAGGGGTGGGTGTAGGGAATAAAAGAGAACAAAGAAGGGTTGGGATCAGCAATGAAAATAGAAAAAAAATTATGTCATGTCTTCACTCTAGTTCTTGTGGAGTTTACATTGTGTAGGGTCCTGCCATCCCAGCCAGCCAAGGGCATCTTAATGTACATTTTACTTGGAGAGAGTAGAAGTATCCTCTCTGCCTCCTGTTCCCCAGCTCGTGCAGGGATTCACTTGTAGGGACTGGCTGAGAGTTGGGTTGCACAGCCACGTAGGAAGTGACTGTACCAGAAAAGCAACCAGGTCTATCTGATCTATCTACTATCCCTTTGATATGCAACACACCAATTTTTATTGCATATTTTTATTTGCTTTCTTGGGAAGTTCTCTAAAAGGAACTTCAGTCTACCTAAATACCTGAAGCACTGAGCTCTATTCATCAAGCAGTTAACCTAGAGATCTGGAGTTGTGTTTTGACAGATAAATGGTTCTCCTATTTATTTAAGTTTGAGAACAGATAAACAAACTGTTCTTGTGCTAATTACCAATTGTCTGTACGGACAGGCAGGCACTACGCCCTAAAGATAGAATGGTGCTGCTGTCTCCATCTGCGACAGCCTGCTATAAATAACAAAATTAGTAACCAGCGCTGATGTTTTGCTGTTCGGCTGCCTATGTAAAGAAATGTCATGGGAGAGGGGAACAGTGAGTGCATCGCACCCTCAGACAACCCGTGTCACTTGTGGAGACATTCTTCAGGCAGAAAGCTGAAGGCTGCACCTCAAGTGCTCTGTTCAGTGTCGTGACCCTCACTATATGAAAGTCATGGAGGCCTTGGAGCTTGACCAGAGAAGGGCGGCAGAGCTGTGAGGGGTCCAGAGCACAAGTATTAATGGGGAGTGGCTGGGGGAACTGGAGTTGTTCAGTCTGGAGAAGAGGAGCTCAGGGGAGACCTCATCGCTCTCTGAAAGGAGGTTGCAGTGACATGGGAGTTAGCCTCTTCTCCCGGATAACAGTGATAGGATGAGAAGGAATGGCCTCAAGTAGTACAAGGGGAGGCTCAGATTGGATATTAGGAAAAATTTATTCTCAGAAAGAGTGGTGCTGCAGTGGCACGGGCTGCCCAGGGAGGTGGTGGAGTCACCTTCCCTGGAGGTGTTCAGGAACCACGTGGATGTGGCACTGTGGTTAGTGGGCATGGTGGGGATGGTTGGTAGTTAGACTAAGTGATCTTAGTGGTCTTTTCAGCCTTAACAATTGCATGGTTCTACTCCACTTCATGAATGAAAAGAACCCTCAGCAGCAATACGCCGTAGTGCTGGCACAGGCCAGCAGTCCTGTGATAGGAGACCTTGACAGGAAGCCTTCCTGCAGCCCCACAGTTAAGATAAGCATATGTCCAGGCACATGAGTTTACTCTCTATTTCTCCTTTGCCTCTATAATTTATTGTAAGAACTTGAAACTTCATTAGCCGCTGGCACCTGTGAGTCAAACAGAGGGCTGCACCTGAGGATAGGATGAACCATGCCAGACTTTTAGCTCTGGAAGATGAAAGGGAGCCCAGCGGCCAGGGTACCCGCTTGTTTGGGCTCAGGGAGACCTGGCCTGTTTCCCAGCTCTGTCATCTGTGCCCCGTGCATATTATTTGAGCCAAATGTGATGACTGTTCCCAGCATGCAGGAAAAGCAGGCCACAAGTTTCATGCCCCTGGCAAGGGGACGAAGAAGTGCGTGAGATAGATAACGCGGTATCGTCAGCTCCAAGCAGTGAGGCAGGAAGCCATGTCTCTGATGTCCCGGCTGTGTGCCCTACCTGCAGAGTTCTGTTGAGGGAGCCTGGCCCAAGCACAGGGCCTGGGAGTGGGAAGCATCTGTTTTCCTGTGTACATGCAAAGATAGTTTGGGATCCAATAAACAACCCAAGTTTCATGCTAGCCTGGGAAAAACCACAGGCATTAGCAAAGCTCTGCTCAAGTATCTCTCTTTCTCTTTGCTTCTTGGAAATGTGATGTCAGCTTTTTTGATGAAGCTTTGCCTCATCCTGGCTGGTGCTGGATCAGGCTGGAACCTCAAGCCACTTGGGCTGACCATAATGCCAGGGACCAGGGCTGCAAACATGTGGCAGCTTCACCAGGAAAGCTGCAGTTCTGAGGGAATGTTAGCACAAGGCTTGCTGGAAATTCATTTGCATCACCAAAATCCCACACTGGTATAATTTCTGTGTATGTGAACCTTCCTTATGGGGAAAGCAAGGAGAGAAGGGAGTGTATGCATTTGGCTGGATTTCATGAAGTGTAGATCTAGTGATAACGGAGTGCCCTTAGACTGCTGAAGTAGGAACAAATGCTCTCAATAATCCACAGAACTAAAGAAACCAGAGTCCACAGCCACCTGATATGAGAATTATGATGCTGCTGTTTAGGTGCTGGACCTAGCTCTGAGCACCCTGCTCTAGCTGTAGGTATCCCTGTTCATTGCAGGGGAGTTGGACTAGATGACCTTTTTGAAGGTCCCTTTCAACTCAAACAATTTTTTGACTCTAAGTGGTGGAAGTGATGTGGGCTAGACCAATCAGTACAAATATTGTGAGCCTCTACCACATCCTGGTTGGGATTTCTGTTGTAACGAGGTGACCAGCTAGAATACTTGGCAAGCACATGGATGGGTAGGGAAGCTGAAGGAAGAGAGGATGTATTACATGTGTGAATATGGTGCATACGCAGACCCAGTTCTGGGGGTTCTGGGGGTGGCCACAACTGCCACAAGAGCAGACCCCTGGGATGTGGGTTTACACACACTTAGTCATAGATTTCCTGGGAAAGAAGATGCTTATAATCAAAGAATAACACCAGAGTTTAATGAGAAAGGCATGCTTTTTTTTTTTTTTAATGATGCAAATGTCTGTGTCTTTCTGTGTGTTTGTTTATGTTTATGTTTTGTAATGGCTCTTTTTCTTGGAGAAATGGGGAAAAAAACTTCTATGCTTTTAAAATGTGCATGAACTGTTGACAGAGCTGGGATAGAGGACGCCTGTGGGTTTTGGGGTGAGACTGCGGCACTGTGATTAGCTCAGTAATCAGACATGGAAGTGTTAGTTCATATGCACAACTCAACCCACTGAATTACTGAATTAAAATCCTATAAATTGATTCCTAGATGCTGTCACACAAAAGAGTTGAGATGGCAATGTTTACAGATGTCTATAAATCAGTGTATGGAGTCAAGCAGGAGTGCAAATCCTAAATTAGGGACTTTGGTTGGGGAGACATGGATGGAGGACTTTGATGGCCTAAAGGAAGTCATTGTAGCCCCTGATTTTATGGGCTGTGCTCTGTGTGTAGTGTCATTGCAAAGATAACTCTGCAGTTAATCAGTGTTTCAGCAGTGATGTGTGAAACTGAGTGCCGGTATGCATACATTAGCCCCTATTTGCAAACACATGGCTGTAAACTATGACACTTTCCCCTTTACTCTCCGCCCCTCCTTTCCTACAAATAATGGGATTTTCAGTACTTCTTGTAAGTGTACAGTTATCTTCTGTATTTATTTCTGGTGGAGCAGCAGAACAGAGGTGGATATAAACTGACCTTCAGGAAAATACCATAGACAAAACCTAATCTATCATGTAAGTACAGTATTTTCAAGTCTTTTGCTTCACTGAGGCTCTCAAGAGATGCTGGCCATGGGTCTGTGATTTAATATACTGTCCTGTCCATAAAGAATGCTGAATCCTTCAGCCATGCTCAGTTTCATGCATCAGTTCACATTATCCATATCATACAACATACCACTTCTAGTTTCTAGGGGTTATTCTTCTGCAGAGACTTTCCAATCAACACTAACATTAATACTCCATGGAGCAGCAGAATCATGGTTTGTTCTGGGAAAGGTCTGGGGAAGATGGGAAATGGGACATCAAAGCTTTAGTCTCTTGGGACCAGTATGGTATCACCATAGCATCTAGTGTTTTCAAATCAGTCCTGAAGTCCCAATGAACAAGGTACTGCAAAATTTTGGCTTCACCCTTCCCCCAGACAGAATCCTGGGTTTGTTTCTTTTCAATTTTTTTTTTATTTTTTCAAGCTTTTACGCTGTGAAACTGACTTTTCTGTTTATTTAGCTGTCTTTACTTGTAAGATGACAAAGTCTGGTCTGGGCGGGTACCTAATGGGTTATGGGAATGTTGCTCATGCCCTTGAGAGCCTGATGTTGAAAGTAATGTGTGTGGTGCTTCCCTGTTGTCAATTAAGTTGGAGGAGCAGTGAATGTATACAATTTTCTATAAAAGCACACAAGCTGATTCAAACACAGAGGAAAGTAATGATGTCATGACATGATGTCATTATGTTTATGGAACTATCTTACTGAAGGTCTAAGCTAAAGATCAACACTGATTGCACATTGGGTTTGCCAGACGTGGCAGCGTCAGGGCTGTACAG